GAAAAAGGTGATGGTTTAGCTGGGATTAATACTATCATAGATAGTATTGTAAAACAAGATGGTGGCGCAATCACTTGCTGCAGCTCAGTGCTCCGTGGATATGTGTTGTTTGTGGCTGTTTGTGGTTGTGTTATCGGGTGTTGTGAGTACCTCTTGTGAGGCGAACAAATTCTACAACAGATGGGACCTTGTGGAGATTGATTTACAAAGTAAACAGGAGATAACAGCTGAGTTTCTCTGGCGTTTTAACATCCCGGTTGAGATTGCAAGGCCTCCCGGCCCCTGGTGGATTAATGCTCCGGTGAGTGGGCGAAAGAACAGACGAAGGAAACATTCAGAAAGGAAGAAGAAGAGGGGCTGTCGAGCTGGTGTTTTATATAGAATGAAAAAACAAAAGAGGAGGTTACCGCTCCCAAGCCTCTTTCTGACAAACGCCAGGTCAGTTGTAAATAAGATGGACAATCTAAGGTTAATGGCTTCTTCAAGCAAATATGTTAAAGATTGTTGTGTGCTGTTAATAACTGAAACCTGGCTAAACCCCACTATCCCATGTACTGAAATAGAGCTGGATGGTTTCTTGCTACATCACTTGGATAGAGATAAGACTGTTGGAAAGAATAAAGGAGGAGGGGTTTGTATGTATGTGAGAGACAATTGAAGTACAAACTCGAAGATTATAACAAGCCACTGCTCTGCTGAAGTAGAATATATGACTGTAAAGATTAGACCTTTTTATCTGCCACGCGAATTTAACGCTGTCATCATATTGGTTGTTTATATTCCACCAGATGCAAAAGCTGATCTAGCTTTGAATTACTTGGGTGATGAAGTTAGTAATTTGCAAACTAAGTATCCAGATGCTGTATATATTTTAGCAGGGGATTTCAATCATGTTGATTTGCGAGTTGTTCTTTCTAAATTTCATCAACATGTGAGATGTGCGACCAGGGGGTTGAATACTTTAGATAAAGTTTACACAAATATTGCACAGGGGTATAGGATTCTGCAGCTACCACATCTAGGTATGTCTGACCATTTATCTCTGGTTTTGGCTCCTGAGTATATTTCTAAGAGGAAGAAGTGGGGGCGGTAGTAAAGACAGTGAAATGTTGGCCTGAGGGGGCGATTACGCAGCTTCAAGATTGTTTTGAACGAATCAACTGGGACATCTTTGAACATCAAGATTTAGAGCATTATACAGCTGCAGTTTTGGAATATATGGCCCATTGCATTGATACTGTTACGACGAACAAGTGTATTCGATCCTACCCAAACCAAAAACCATGGATGACTGGCACTGTTAGGTCCCTTTTGTACAAGAGAAATAAGGCATTTAAGTCTGGAGATGCCTCACTGTATAGTGTGGCTAGAGCAAATTTGAAGCGTGGTATTAAACAAGCCAAGGCTGCATACAAGGGAAAGATAGAAGACTGGCTATCTAATAATAACCTGAGACAAGCTTGGCAGGGGATTCAGCAGTTAACTAATTTTAAAGCACAAAAGGCTAGTATGGGTGAAAAACATGAGTTGGTAGAGGAACTAAACACCTTTTATGCCAGGTTTGAGATGAATCAACTGGAAGTGGAGTTACCATCACCATTGTTGACTGAGCACTGTGCTCCTCTTGTTGTGAAGGAGCATGATGTTAGGTGTATAATGAAAGCGGTAAACTCTAGAAAAGCTGCAGGACCTGATAACATTCCTGGTTGTGTAGTAAAAGAATGTGCGGATCAGTTAGCCGGGGTGTGGACTGAGATTTTCAATCATTCTTTGCTACAGTCTATTGTTCCAACTTGTCTGAAGGCTTCTATTATTGTTCCAGTACCCAAGAAGTCACCTGCAAATGCTTTAAATGACTATAGGCTGGTGGCATTGACTTCTGTGATAATGAAGTGCTTCGAGCAGTTAGTTCGGAAATACATTATTTCTTGCCTTCCTGCTACCTTTGATAATTATCAGTTTGCTTATAGAACAAACAGATCTACTGAGGATGCTGTCAATACTGTTCTTCATACTGCCCTATCTCATTTGGAGAAAAAAAGAACGTATGTCAGAATATTATTTGTTGATTTTAGTTCTGCTTTCAACACAATATTACCCCACAGATTGATGTCTAAGCTTAAAGATCTGAAGCTACCGGACTCCATATGTTGGTGGATTCTGAATTTTTTATCACATCGTTCACAAAGGGTTAGGATGAATGGACATATCTCTTCTGCGAAGATTCTCAATACTGGCACTCCTCAGGGCTGTGTATTGAGTCCACTTTTATTCTCTATTTATACGTCTGATTGCACCTCTATTCATCTGAGTAATAAGATCATTAAGTTTGCAGATGATACAATGTTGGTGGGGCTCATTTCTGATAATGATGAGTCTGCGTACAGGGATGAAGTTCATCAGCTGTCCCTCTGGTGCAAAGTAAACAATCTTATTTTTAATATAAATAAGACGAAGGAATTCATAGTGGATTACAGGAAGAGCAGTTCGGATATCCAGCCATTGTACATCGATGGTGTTTTGGTAGAACAGGTGGCAGAATGCAAGTTTCTAGGTATCACCCTGAAACAAGATCTAACATGGGGGGCAAATACTTTAGCCCTAGAAAAAAAGGCTCATCAACGACTGTATTTTTTAAGACTTTTAAGATCACAACAACTGCCAGAGAGTCTATTGGTTTCCTTTTATTGAAGCTCTATAGAGAGCATTTTATCCTATTGCCTCTGTGTGTGGTTCAGGAGTTGTACAGAGGCGGAGAAAAGGGCACTCCAAAGAGTGATAAAAAGGGCACAAAAGATCAGCGGATGCTCTCTTCCCTCATTGGAGGATTTGTATAACATGGGATGTAGAAGGAAGATACAAAAGATCTTGAGAGACCCTTCACATCCAGGCCACTCGTTGTTTGAGATCCTACCATCAGGAAGACGATATAGAGTGCTGAAAGCCAGGACAAGTAGATTTAAACATAGCTTTTACCCAAGTGCTGTGATCAGGTTAAATGCAGAGTTATGAATCTGATAGTCTTAACATATATATATCCTGGTTGTATAGTTTTTAATTGTTATTTGTTTTAATTTGTTTTACATTGTTATTTGTATATGTCTTTTGGTGTTGTTCAGTTGTATGTTGTGAAAGAGCACCTTATTTCGTTGTTCTCAGGTTCTGAGTACAATGACAATAAATTTATCTTATCTTATCTTATTGGAGGAAGCTTAGCCACCACCAACCCTTGTTATTAAGTTATAACATCTGGCTTCACTGGGTTCAAGTAAAGTTTTTGTACAGGCCACGCTTCTCATGTTTTACTCAACACATAAAACTGAAGGGAGGAAACTATAAAATAGAGTTCATAGAATTTATCTGTGCTGGAAGCAGTAACTTCTTTTTTCTTACTTGAATGACGATATGGCTGATTTTAAAGGTTTGTTCACATGCCTGATAGAGCAGTTGTTTGTATAGTAGAGATCCCTATCATTCCCAATGATAAATTCCTGCATACTATCTATTCTCTACTGTCCCATTTGGACTATTTTCACCTTTCTTCCCTGGATGCAATTCATCCAATTCCAGATGGTTCCAGTCCTGATGGCTTTTCCACATGGGTCAGCCTCAAAGCTGATACTCCTCATTTCTCCTCAGTGCCAAAAGTCTGGTTTCACTTTGGTTTGTGCTTGCATCCCTGGTACTGAAGTTCCCCGTGTCTGTTCTAACCAAAATTTTCTACTCAATTTCCACCTTTTCTTCTGTGCATTGGGAGCCCTTGGCTCCTTTTTTCTAGCTGGGCATGTATATGAGACAGGTGGCATTTGATTTCAAATAAACATTCAGCTAGAGATGCTGTTTCCCTCACTTTGCTTCCAGTATTGGCTACCAAAATATACCTATATCAGTGTATCAGCAAACAAGCCACCATGTGGCATGCACTCTGCTACAAATTGAACTCTGTCATTTTAATAATATAATCATTCCTAGAAATTCCTCGGTTCCCAGGAAGAAGGGGAGGGCAGACTCACCCATATTCATTGAAAGATGATGTAAGAATAACTGAAGATATAAGGTTGAGGGATGATTTTGGGGGGAATCACTATTCTGCATATTTGTGACTTTACTTCATGCAGTATTCTCCACTTTTGCTATTGGCTGTTTGTTCCTAAATAACTAAGCTTAATGAATGTGTTCTGAATTGCAGTCTTAATGTAGGCCATGTGCCACTTGCCCAGGCTGTGAAAACATCGAAAGACAGCGCTGAAATACTAACCATTTGGGGAGGATAGATAGCCATAGAAAAACTGAGAGATGGTGGTGTATGTAGTGGTGGTGTATTTTAGTTTCCAAAATATATTGTATTTGTACCCCATCATATTCAAAATACTCTTCAGTAGTTTACAATCCTCATTTCATAATCTACTTTGGCTGCTTTCCACCCTTCAATTCTTCTTTCCCAGGAAGTTGAAAAAGGAAAAAAATGAAGTATGGAAAATTTATGGAATTCCTTTTGTTGTCATGTTTTCTATCTCATGAGGATCACTGAAGCAGTATGACTTGATTTTACCACAGCATAAAAAATGATTTTTCATATACAATATATTGTTTTAGATGTGCATTTCTAAATTTCTCTAATGTAGGATAGTCTAGAGCTGAAGCTGCACTTGCCAGCTCTGGCCTCAGCCTCCAAATTCTGCCAAATTCTCATATGCATTGCAGCCATGTCCAGTTATATGATGGATCACATGCATCAGAACCTAGTACAGGTTCATGCCATTCCCAAATTATCTTTTCTGATTGCAAATACAAGCCAGTACTATTGGAACATGATCAAATCAACCTTTAAAAGAGTATTTTAAATGGGGCCTCCTTGAGCTGTATCTCCTCTCTCCTCCCTCCCATTGAAGTGTTCATGACACATTATTTCTTGCTTGTTCTTTTTTTGGAGCTAGAAATTTCCTAACTTGTGGTCTTTTTCAGAAAACGAGAAGTGTCTTCCTCCAAGCAACCAGGCACAAAGAATCACTACTGAAGGATTAGCAGCCTTTGTTGCCTCATCCTTTGTTTTCCAAGAAAGATTCCCTGGGCCAAGGCACTGACACTGTTCTCCTAGCCCACCACACCACACCTGAGTTGTGCAGGATGGATACCTTCACTCCAGGGCAAATGGGCTCTCTTTTGGTTCTGATAGCAGTAGCTATCTGGCAAGGTAGGTCTTCTTGTTCATTCCATTCACACATCAATAAACTGTAGCAGCTGGGAACAACACAGAAATTTTTCTAGCTGTAACCAACCAACCCACCTACAATGGATTACAAATGTCTTCAGCCCCAGCCTTTAAGGTCATTTGTTATTTTGGTTGTTGTGATGGAAGTTGCAATCTAATATCTCTGGAGGGTTCCAAATGAGGAGAGCTGGGTTAGAAAAGTAACAGTGTTCTTTAGTGTTTTTACATGTACTGCAAAAGGATAAAGGATAAAAATGTGTTTTCAAAATTTCTGTTTGAAGGAAACTAATGGTCAGCCAAATCTGTTGCTTTTATTGATATGATTGCCAGTTGGATACACCCAATATTGCATTAAAGTGTACAGTTTTACTTTTAAAACTTTGATCATTTTCTTCATTCTTTTTTGAATAAATTTACTAACTTGTTGAATATTCAAATGTAACGTTCACTTTGTTTATATGCAATGCCTGTTTTGGAAAAAAATAAATTTTGGGATTGGGTGCTTAGTGTTTTGTTTTGTAATCAAGTGATAACTTTTTGACTAGGTTACTAACAAATTAAACATAGAAGCTGAAGCAGTTCAGTTAGGACAAATGACTATTTTCTGCTCAAAAGATTAGTAATGTGTTATTCCATTTGGAAGTGAGGAAAGTTTTTCTCCACCAAGAAGCATCTACTTTGATTTCTAGTTCTTAATTGCTTAAGTGTACTTCGTCAGTCCTGTACAGCACCTTCAGCATCTAAATGAAGATTTGATCAAAATATTTTAAAGTAAGGATATCTTTTAGAAACATTTTACATGGTCAAAGCATGTCTGTAATCTTTTCTCAAGCTTTAACCACAGAAAGTATCTCATTCCACCATAAATGGTACAACTAAACTGTACTGTGATTGTCAGTCTACTTTTTCTGGTAAATATTTTAACGAAATATTTACCAGAAGAGGGAGAATGAATTTTCATCAAGTAAATTCTCCCTAATAAATTGGCAGCATCAAAAGTTTTCAGCCACAATGGGGTTAAACTGGAAAGTTCACACTGTACAAAAGGTTGTCCGTACTTCTTTTAGTTTCCAAAAGTCAAGAGGAAGAAGTTTCATGTGTGTGCTTGGTAGAAGACAATATGCTTCAAACTATCACTGAAGGTCACTATTATGCAACACAGTGATGTGGCAAAGCAGTGGCCAGTTGTTACTGAAACTATGAAGGAAGTAAGCCAGGATCCATCTTGGCAATGTTCTGAAACTCCATGCAAAACTTTAACTCAGCATTAGAATTGGCAAAAGAGATTTTTCTTTCATACTTTGAAGAAACTGAAAATTGGTTTTATATCATTAGGGCTGCATCAATGGTAACAAACATAGCTAAAAAATAGTATAATTGAATATTAGACTAATTGGGTTTAGATAGAGAGGAGTGCTGCATATTTGATTTTGCTATGCTGCAGATTTTTGCAATCTTCATGCATTAGTATCAAGTACTATGTTATATTTAAAATGTGCCAGGTCTACTGCCCTTTGACCCATTTCTGACTGTGTTCTTGCATTCAAAACCTCACTTTGGTAAGGGTAGAAACTGTTCCAAAATTACTGCTATCATATTTTTTTTGCTCCCTTTCATACAGCCTCAACCATTTCCTGCTTGTGTCTTCCAGTCTTGCCCACAATTCATAAATCCCTTTGTTTGTTATATGTGTAGCTCCTAACCTTATGTGTAGCTCCTAAACCTTTGTCTATAGGGAATGATACCATGCCTATATAGGATTATCTTTTGAATATGGGAATTAGTCCATTATTTCTCTTGGTGGAAGACTACTACAAGCTCTCAAAAACTTTCCAGTTAAACATGGAGTATTCTGGCCAGGCATTCACTGTGCTACAAGAGGTAGTAACACTTTCAAACATGAAAAAAATAGGCTTCTCTGTCTTACCAACTGGAGGGGTTTTTTTTTAATTTGTATCCTTTCACAAATAACTCAGGGTAGTGAACATATCAAACACACCTTCCCTCATATTTTCCCCATAACCACATCCTTTGAAGTGAGTTGGGCTGAGAGTCACTGGCTCAAGATCACCCAGCTGGCTTTTACAGATTAGTTGATGCACTCCTTTAAGTGTATCAGCCCTCCTCAATTCATTCAGTCTCTTTCACTTTTTTCTTACTATAGAATATCTTTACTCCTTGCCTCCCTCAAAAGGCATTCTTTGTCTTTAGTCAAAGCATTTTCTTTTGCTCTTGGGTGCTCCTTTAAGTCTGTCAGCTCCCTCATCTCTTTTTACCTCATTCACTCTTTCGCCATCTTAGCTTATCTTAACTTTGCCTCCTTCCAAAGCTGCTTTTTTTTTTCTCTTTAGTTGAAGCCTTTCCTTTTGCTGTTGCTTTAATATCTGAGTCCAGCTCCATTTCTGGCTGGTCTATTTTCTTTGGTTTAACTACAGGCATAAAATGGATACCTTAGGTCTATCAAGGTAGTAGTTTTTTCTAAGGGAGAATCTGTCCCTTCTACCTTTCCTATGTCTGTTTATGTGGTGCAAGTTCTGGTTAAGGGGTCTGGTTTCTACAGCCAGGATTGTTGGTCATTTCCTGCAAAGTCTGACTTCTTCTGTGAGGGCCAAACTCTGTTCCTTTTGTATTTAGGGTTCATTTTCTTTTCATGGAGTGTTTAATGAACTCCTTGAGCTTAAGCCATCTCCATTTGTGTGGTTGCCACCCTGTTGGCTATCCCACTTTTATACAGATATCCTACCCTGCTTCCCACTTTTGTCATGGGTTCTTTTCAGTATATCCATTTCAGTGGGCTCCAAACAAGCCAACAGCAACATAGGTCCAACACACACAAGCATTCACAAGCTATTACTACTACTCACCCCTATTCCAATCTTCCCCACTTCTATTCCTACAGCTATTATTTCTTCTGAGAACTACTACTCCTATTTCTTCCAAGTACTGCTAGAGAAAATTACACCTTTCTGGCTTTCTGGCTTCCTGACTTCCACACACAAACAGAAACTTATTCTCTCTTCCCCACCACCACATACTGCACTCTGAGCTGCCTCTCAGCACAGCTTTTATAATCAAGGTTGCCGGCCTGGCTGGGGAGAGGCCTTAAAGAGACAGGTGGACAGCAGCACAGGTGCTGGCCATTTTCTGGGTAGCCCATTTCCTCAGAGCTGTAAGGAAAAGATGAAAACAGAAGTTAATCACCCAATTCCAAGTAAGAAAGAGATGGAATGTCCTTCATGGCTGGTTTTGTTGTACAGATGAAAAACCTATTCCCTCTCTGGTGCTCTAATTTCCCCCAAATTTTACACATTCCCAGAGGACACTTTGACAGGAAGCAAGCTTTAAAAGTCAAAAACAGGGTTGACAAATGGGCTTCTTTTTGAAAAAAAGTTGAAACATTTTGTTCCTCTGCTGAGTGCTGTAACTCTAACTTTCAGAGCTAGGAAAGGGGAATCATGGTTTATTGTGTGCCTTTTAATATCAGAGGAAAGGGTACTCATGGTTTATTGTGTGCCTTTTTTTTAAACAGACCATGCAAAAATCTTCTTTTTAATGAGAACATTTAACTTCAATAAGTGAAAGTCATAGAACACTAGATATTGGAAAGACAGCCCAGTTCAGACCTTATAGACCATCTTTTCTTCCTCTTCAGATAAGCTCTACTTAATATCTTTTATGGCTGTTATTATTGATAAACCTGAGATGAGAATAGATTTGATGGACAGCTGGATAGAGAAAGCTGAAGGATGGGAAAGGATATGTTGATCCCATATCTGTGTACATGCTAGCAAGAGAAATTCAATGACAGCATTAAGACTGTCCTTATAGCCCTACAAATGATAGCTCTACAAATTAATCTGTTGTATTCTCAGTCTTTATCCAAATATTTGGTGGATTTCAAAATTAATCTTTATCAGATTGTTCCACTCTTTACCAAAGAGTCAATCTAAATTCAGTTTGTTCTAGCTGTGTGATTTTCTGGACCAGTCTGAAAACTCAAGAGTTCTTTGGAAGCTTAACAAATGGAGAACAAATTTCCCTAAATAAATAAGTTAAATTATTCTTATTGATGATATAAGCAGCCATTGAGAACTGTTCTGTTCCATTTCAGCAGGAGTCTTCAAACTTGATAGCTTTAAGACTTGTGGACTTCAACTCCCAGAATTCCTCCTCTAGTCTGTTAGCTCAGGAATTCTGGGAGTTGAAGTCCACAAGTCTTAAACTTCCCAAGTTTGAAGACCCTTGCATTTCAGTTTACCAAGGGTTACAAGATAACCAGTCAGTCTTTTTGAACAATACATGGAATCTTCTGTACAAAGTGAATTAAGTGTTCCTTGATAAAATAAATATGCAAAGAAATAAGACTTGAAATAGCTGGATGTGTAGAGTACTGTTTATGGTTCTGGTTATTATTTATTCTAAAATTTTATATACTGGATTGGCCTTTGCACTTCTTTCAATTTGCTGACATAAAGATGCACCTGGTTTATTAAACACTGAGTAACACTAAATATTTTGTGCCAGATTAATTTTATAAATTTAGAATCAACAATGTATGCTAGTATGCTAGTTTTAGTTTCATATAATCATATTTCAATTTCAATAAAATAATAACTAAAATAATTCCAAATTAAGTCAAGTTTGGAAGTCCAGGGAATTGATATATTGGCAGAGAACCCCTTTTGGTGTTGAAGGATCTGGGATTGAGGAATCCTGGCTTAGGAATTGTTGTACTCCATAGCAATCATAAACAACTCTTGAGTAATCTTGAACCCAACACATATAGGTGGTCATTTGTTGGACCTTGTTTTTGTTTCAGGGAAGATGTTAGCTGATGTGGAAATTAAGGGGATTTCTAGTACTACATTGCCATGGTCAAATCATGCCTTGATCAAGTTGCAATTGTTAGCCACCCATGATTTCTGCAGGACCATATTCAGATGGTCCATCCCAAAAGCCTATTGGATCAAATTGGCTTCCAA